AATAGAAATGACACATTCCTTACCATGCCCCTGATCTAAGTGGTAAAGTAATATCTTTCACTGTTTGCTTTAGTGTTAGTTGTGGTTTCAGTTCCTAATTTGCTGATTTTTTTAAAAATCATGAATGGTTATTGAATTATGTCAAATACTTCAGCGTCTGTTATGATTATCATACAGTTTTTCTTATTTGCTCTGTTATTTTGAGGGATTACATTGATTTTAGAACATCAAACCAGCCTTGCATTCCTGGCACCACGTTTATACACTTAGTCATGGTGTATTATCTTTATATGTTTTCCTGGGTTTGACTTGATAGTATTTTATTGAAGAGATTTTGGTCTGTGTTCTTGGGAGATGTTTGATTTGTAGTTTGCTTTGCTTTATAATGTCATTGTATGATTTTGGTATCAAGTTAATGCTGGCTGTATCCATTTAACTTGCCAAATTTAATGGCATAAAGTTGTTAATAGTATTCCTTTATCTTTTTAATGCCTGTAGCGTCTGTAGTGATGCTCTGTATTTCATTTCTGGTATTGGTAATTTATCTTTTTTCCCCTTTTTATTGAACTGTGTTGCTAGACTGTTAGTGACCTTTTCAAAGGCCAGCTTCTGCTTTCATTGACTTTTCCTTTTATCATTTCCTCTTTTTTGCTTTCTTTGGACTTAATTTGCTGTTCTTTTTCTGGTTTCTTAAGGTGGTTGCTTAGATAATTGATTTTAAGACTTTCTTTTCTAATAGCATTTAAAGCTATAAATTTCTAGTCATTGCTTTAGCTACATCCCCAAAATTTAACATGTTGTATTTTCATATTCCATTGAAATTATCTTCTGTCTTATAATTTCTTCTTTGACCAATGGGTTATTTAGTAGTGTGTTTTTAATTTCCAAATATTTGGGATTTCCATATGTATTTCTGGTTTTAATTTTTGATTCCATTATGCTCAGAGAACAAACTGATATGAAATGCCATTTTCATCGTGTGTGTAACATCCATGTCCAGTTGAACCTGTATCTGGAGTTTGTGTTCCATTCTGTTAAACTGTCTGATAAGACTACTTCCCCATCCACTCACTCCCAGCGTTAATTTTTTTCACTTCAGGTTTTCTTAACTTTTCTTCCTAGTTTCTTTTTTCATATGAGCTAGATATTCAGGTTGAATACCGAAAAAAAAAAATCAGTTGACTTTTTATTATTGAAAAATTCAAACGTATACAAATAAGCAGTTAGAATAGTGTGCTAGTATAAAAGAGCTCATCATCACTCTGCTTTAACAATTAGAAATTCATGGCCAATTTTATTTCATCTCAACACCCCTCCCTACTCAGGTTATTTTAAAGCATATCCCAGATACATCATTTTATCTGTAAATATTCCATTTTTCAATTCTAAAGGATAAGGGGGTCTTACAAAAACAAACATTACTATTACCACACTAGAAAGAGTTAGCAATAGTTTCCTAATACCCTCAAATTTCTATGGCTATCTTTAAAATACATTTTTTGGCAGTTATTTTATTCTAGTTAGGATCCAAATGAGGTTTACAAATTGCATTTGTTTATCATGTTTAAATAATTTTTAAAAATTGTTTCATGTTGCGATAACTTACAAAAATTTAAAGACATGTTATGTTCATTCATACCCTCATTTTCTTACACTCTGCCTTCATTGGATTATTTTAAAGCAATCCTAGATACTGTATCATTTCATTCATCAATATTTCACTGTGTATCTTTAAGCATTGTGGACTCTTTCCTTTTTAAAATCATAGTTAAATTACCATTATTCACACATTAAAAATTCAGCAATTATTCCTGTCTATCAAAGATCCAAAGTACACATTTTCCTCCTGTGTTATGACTATTTCTTAATAGTTGACTTGTTCAACCACAGTCCGAAATCCACACTTTTCATTTGATTGATACATATTTCTCTTAATGTTCAGTCTCTTAATTTATAGTTTTCCCCTGTGTTTTTTTCCCTTTACATCTTATTTAAATCCACCTTATTTGTCCTGTATTCTTTCTCACTATCTGAATTTCATGGATTTCATCCTTGTGGCATTGTTTAAAGTGTTCCCCCATCCCCTGTCATCCTTGTAAACTGATAGTAGAGAGACTTGATATAATTAAGTTGTGGTTTTTTAAACTTAACTTGGAGTGTTTCATAGATGATGTGTGTACTTTGATTTGGAGCCATTGTCTTAAATCTTTTTCTTTGCTAATAGGAGTAACTGGGCTCCCTTATCTACCCAGGATAACATTTTCTGCCAGCTCTTCTTTGTTTTAGCAGCACTGAAGATCATTGTCTAGCCTTAGATCCATTATTTCATTAAGGTTTGCAAAATGGTGACATTCTCATTCTGTCATCTCTTTAGTTAGTAAGATGGAATTTTTCTGTAAAGAAAAAACTTTACCATGCCACACTATTTGGTTACCATGAGGTGCGTTTGTGCACAAAAGGCCAGCATTTCAAGGCAGTTCTCAGAATAATGAGTTCTTTTTCTATCATCCTCTAAAAGTTGGCCATTGAGGGTTTTTTGTTCTTTTCTATCAGTATAATCTCGTGAATTTTAACATTCAGTTTGCCAGTTGGCATTCTTACTAAAATCATATTAAATTTATAAATATATAGTTTAGAGATTAACTTAGGGGAGAACTGCTATCTTTATATCGTCTTCCTATCCAGGAACAAATTATGCCTTTCTGCTTGTTTAAATCTGCTTCTGTATCTTCAGTAGTATTTTTAAGTTTCTCTCGAAAGTTTTATGTGTTTCTTCAGTTTATACTTAATTATATTATAGGTATTGTCTTTTTTTATTGCTAATGTAAACTGAGTTCTTCTTTACCATTGCATCTTCATAGTTACTTATGAAGTAAGTTTATCAAGTACTATATATGAAGGCTATTGTTGTCTTTATGTTAATTTTATGTCCTTATTCTTTACTCTGTCAAATAACAGGCAAAATTAAGGACTCGCTTCTGAAATGCAGCCATAGATTATATAATAAGGCTTATCTTTCCTGCATAATGCTACGGCCTTTTTGCACAAAACCACCTCTGTCTTCTTCGTGCATAATGCAGCAATAATGTTTTTGCAACCTGTTAGAAGAATTGAGTTGTATTTGAAAATATGCCGAAGTCAGCATTTTGGGACAGATATTCTTTGTTGGTGGGGTTGGGTGTCCTGTGCGTTAGAAGATGTTTATCAGCATCCCTGGCCTCTACCTATTGGATGCTGGTAGTAACCTCCCCTTCCCTAATTATAACAACCAGAGTTGTCTCCAGACATTGTCAAATGCCCCTTGAAAGGCAAAACTACTGCCAGTTGAAAACCATTGACATAAAGAAATGGCCAAAGTATGGCTCATCTAAACTGTGATTTAAGATTAAGATAATTCAGTTTAGGGGATGGAGGGGAACCACCACCGTAAAACCAGTTCTATCTCTGTGTACCTACATATGCATGTGTGCAGACGCATGGATCTAGAAGGCTACATACAGTGGTTGCTGTTGGGGAAGAGAATGGTATACAAATGGTTAGAAGGGGGAATTTTGTTTTATGTTGTAAAATTTTTTATCTTTCAAGATCATATTCCACCGTTGTTTCTATAATGAATTTATTTTTAAAAATTAGTAAACCTGACTAGTATTTTTAAAATATGTGATGGTTATAATTAAGTATCAAAAGAAACAGTGTTAGGGGTTGAGGATATATACCTCAGGATCTACTAAGTACGTGCTTGGCATGCATGAGGTCCTGGGTTCAGTCCTCAGTGCCTCCATTAACGGGGGGCGGGGGAGGGGGTTGCAAAATGAAAAGAAATAGTGGTAGTGAATAGGTTAAGTTCAGTTAACTTAGAATAACTTTCATTTGATAAAGGTGATATTTGAGTTTGGGGTGGCTTTTCTTTACTACAGAGGTGCTTTTTCAATATGTGAAATCTCAAAATTAAATTCAGAAAAATACTACTATATTCGTTTCCTGTTTTCAAGTTTGCTTTTCTAACTACATAAAGCAGTATATATAACTAGCTCCTCTAAATGTCAGTAAGTCATTAAATTTTTAGCAAAAAATTAAAATATTTAAAATAAAAACAAAATTATTTCTCTGAATTAGCAATTAATTTTTATACTCAGTTCTGGTGATCTTATGAAGTTAAGCGTTCTTTGTGCCTCATACCTTGCAGTAAGCAATGGCTCATGATTTCTTCCCTCAGGTGGCTTGGTTAACATCACATCATAAACCCATTACAGACAACAGTCAATGCTGTAATAGACATGTGAGGAAAAGGTACACAGATCATGCAGCTAGCTCTTTGCGGGGAACTGGGAGCTAAATTCTTAACTAGAGCTTTAATGGGGAGGACTGTAGGCAGAAATTTGTGTGGAATAATAAAAGACATAAAGTAATTCTTTAAAAGTGCTATGATTTAGAAACCTGCTACATGATAGCCTGAGATTCTACCTTTGAAAAAGAGCAAGACATTGTATAAGAATTCAGTGGTGGGAAATTTTAGAAGATGAAGTAAAGATTAGTGTTGGGTCTGTTTTGGCTTTTTTGTTGTGCTTTTTGTTTTTCTTTGAAAAATCCAATGGCCTTTTCTAGCAAGTGGCATAATTTAGTGTATCAAACAGGGATTATCTAAGAAGTATGAGGGGAATGTTGTTTCACATTGCTGGAGGTGTCTGTTACAGGGACTTGATTAAGTCTGGGCGTCATCACAAAGGGTCTCTCTGTGGATGTTGCTTTCAAGCTGATACTTCAAGGATCAGTCAAAATTTTCCAACCTGGGAGTTAGGGGGTCAGGGTTTGAGGCTAAGGAATAGTACATGTGATAGGAAACAGCCTAGAGTGGCTGAAGGAGTGGTGGGGATGGTATATAACTTGGCATTGGAGAGGCAGACAGAAGGGTCCAATCATGCAGAGCCTCAAGGACTGTGTTCATGTGTTTTAAGCTAAGGAGATGCTGTTTTCTAATAATAAGTCATCTTTTTCTTTAGTACCAAATATGCCCCAACAACGGCAAGACCAGCATCATCAGAGCACCATGATGCACCCAGCGTCAGCAGCAGGACCACCAATTGTGGCCACCCCGCCAGCTTATTCCACACAATATGTTGCCTATAGTCCTCAGCAGTTTCCGAATCAGCCTCTCGTTCAGCATGTGCCACATTATCAGTCTCAGGTAAGCCTGATATGACTTAATAACTTAATTTTTCCAGTTAGATTTAACTTTTTAAAAAAATTATTTACTATTGTATTATTTATTTATTTTATTTGAGAGGGGAGGTAATTAGGTTTTATTTTTAAAGGAGCTACTGGGGATTGAACCCAGGACTTCATGCATGCTTAGTGTGCATTCTACCCTGGAGCTATACCCTCCCCCCTTAACTTTTTTAATATGGTAAGTGGGTTTTGGTTTATATTTTGTGCTTGGTGTTTTGATGGGGTAGACAGCTAAGGTTTTGGGGGCCCTTTTTAATGTATTAGAAAGTGGCTGATCAATGTATGTGTTTCAAAGGAAAGAGCCAAAAACAGATTTAGGATTTTTAGAGTTGTTTCTGGAAACCTGGAAGCCATGGAGTTAAGACATCTAACTAAAACCTACTTGACTCTATTTGATACTTTAATTTTTTTTCTTTATTTTTTGTTTGAACACAGCATCCTCATGTCTATAGTCCTGTGATACAGGGTAATGCTAGGATGATGGCACCACCAACACATGCCCAGCCTGGTTTAGTATCTTCTTCAGCAACTCAGTACGGGGCTCATGAGCAGACGCATGCGATGTATGGTAGGAAGCATTTTGTTTGTCTTTTTCAGTGTGTATGATTTTTCTTAATAAGTTTTTAAGCTCTGAGAAAATACTATGTTTAAGAATAACTTGGCCTTTTATGACATTGAGGGTCAAGAATCTAACAAAATGTTGAAACTATTGCTGTCTGACTTGCTCTATAAGTCTTAGCAAATCATTTCTACTTCTGCGCCTGAAATTCCTCTGTCTTCAAATGTCTCTTTAACTAAAATGTAATAATGTATGTAACAGAAAGCATCTTTTGTGGAGAAAGTTCTCTTCCTTGTCAGCATTTGGTATGCCTTGCTTAAGGCATGCAAGAAAGTTTTACCATAATGAAAGCATTCGGCAGCAAAAGGAAACATTCTGCCTCACTCCTTGCTCTGGCGGTCACTGGCATTACGTATATTTATTGCTATTTGTTACAATGCTACTGTGTTTCTGCATCATGCTGTATTTTAAGTGGCTGAACTTGTATAATATTAGATCTGCTTTAGATGTGATTCATACTGTACATGTAACCCATACTTTAAATGTAATCATTATAAACAACAATAAAATGAAAATGAAATTATTCTATATAAAACTAACAGTATATGTAAGAATAGTAAGCTAAAATTACTATCTTAGTTTTGTGGCCAGAGAACTTTGTGCAGGTCAACTTCGCAGCTGTAAAGTACTAAAATAATACAGGTTTCAATATTGAGAATTTAAAATTAAATTTCCACTTATATCTTGTAATACTATGTTTTTCAAAATACACCTTTACTTAGTACCAGTTTTACTTAGATCTAAGTTTTGTTTTGAACATTTCTGGGAACTCCTGTACTGTCATTCAGGTTTTCCCATTGGCATTTCAGTGTTTTGGAGTGAGAGGAGAGAGATTTAAGTTTATTGAAAAGTGTAACTACTATGAGAATGAAATTACATGTAACTACATGGACATTTTATTTTTTAAACTTATTTAAACTTTTTGAATGACTACGAATGCAAAGATTTTCATGTCAACTTTAGGTAACAGTTTAACAGTTCATAGGTTGATAGGAATAGGACTCTGGCCCCTGTAACCCACTGCCCAGGCTGTCTTTCTGGAGGCATGCTCTTGTCCCACTGGTTCACTAATGACAGGAATTTTACATGATTGAAGGCATTGTTTTTATAAAATACTGAAGTCAGAGGTTAATTTTTTGCTTAAAACTTTCTACTGTGGATTATGCACTTTAAATTAAAATAGATGTGATTGCTACATCTTGGAAAACTTTTCTTTCAAGAAGCCCATCCATAGCTGAATTGAAAAATTGACAGACAGATTTAGCTTGTGATTTTGGTTATGATCTATCATTGCTTGACTTTAGTTGTCTTTTTTTTTTTTTTTTTTTGAGGGGGGAGGGTCTTTAGTTGTCTTAACCAGAACTAAGTACATGTGAAAAGACACTACTGATTTATCCCACTGACTTTTATGCAGTTTGTATGTTTTAACACTTTTTCCAGTTTGCTAAAGGCTAGGTGAAACGTTCATCATGATTGTTTATACATGTATTTCTGGTGAATACATCATGATATAACAAGTGGAAAAAAACATTTCTTTCTTCACATTTCCTTGCGTACTCCTCTTGGAATGAGATCTGAAACTCTGAGCTAAAATTTCCTTTGCTTTTGGAGAGTAGCTATTTGTGTGCCCATGTCTTTGAGCCTTTGTAGTAATACTGTGATGTTGAGCAGTCTTTCTCCTCAGTGTGCTCACTCACTACCAACATCTGGCTTTGTCTTTTGGATGGATGTCCATTGGTTTGAAGCAGGCTGTACAGTAAATACTGTATTTGAGGCACTGATGGTTTTTATGATTGCCTTCCCAGAATATTTCCATTTGAAAAGCAGTTAGCCATGGACCCTGAAGTCTATTCAAATGTGGGAAAATGGGAAATACTGCAAATAAGCAAAATACTAGACCTAAAGTCCAGTGAAATCTGGAGTGAACTAGTCACAAAGCCATTTTTTTGATGCCAGGAGAAAGTTGCTCAACTGAATGTGAACTACTTATTTGCAGGTTGTATTTAATCGGTGTCTCTTCATGGGGGCAGGCTAGGGGCAAAGATTAACCTTTTTACGCAAACAAAAGAGTATGCACCCAGATGTTGATGATAATTATATGCCATCTTTTTGTCATTCATTAATTGTTATGGCCATTTGTAAAAGGCTTTGAGAACAGAAATAACTGCAGCGTGAAAGACTGATTGTTGTTTTTAAATGTTTTGCTATATTTAAGATAAGTATGCCAACAGATCGCTGAACATTTAAATTATTAGGAGTTACATATATACACATTCTAAGTAATTGTTGACCTTCTCTTTCTAGCTTTCTTAGAAAGAACTTTGGTCATAAAGTCATCTCTTTGACCTTCATCTGTCTGGCTTTCATCATTGCCTTTGCCCTCTTCCTCCTAATAGATTATTTTTTGTCTCTAACACCCAGTCTTCTAATTCATCTAATTTTGTTTCATGGTAGTGGTTTTTCCCTTTTCAGTAATAGTAAGAATGAAACTCTCTACTGACTAAATCCATCAGGAAGAGTTAAATCTAGAATCCTTTTCAGTTTATTTTT